AAGAATTAATTTGCTGTAAAATTAATTTTCTTTCATAAAATTCAACAAATATTTTATGGAAAATTGATTTTAATTTTCCAGAAAATTATATTGTCATTTAATTTTCAATAAATTATATTTTTTGATCATTTTTGGCAAATACATATATTAAAAATCATAAAATTTTAATGAAAGAAAAGCATTTCAAAAACAACAAGCAAAAAAAAAAAAGGACTCCGAAAAATATTTTCAATTCAATTAAAATATAATTTATATAGTATTCAGTATAAAATAATATAAAGATTCCTTTATTAAAGGATAATTGAATTTAAGACATACAAGAGTTGTCATACTTACATTTAACTTATATGTATGTCCATTTATTTGTATCGTTATGTATTCATATTATATAACTCGATTTAAATATGCAAAAACATGTGTGTTAGTTATTTATGCATAAACGACTATACAATATATTTGAAGATGAACCATTCAAGTATATGTGACACAGGATATGAGAATCAATCATTTAAGATTTTTAATTTCCATTTAATAACTTTTATATAAAAAAGGTAACAAATTGAATCACATCGAAAGCCATTTTATATAGTTTTATTAAAATTTCATTATAAACAGATTTTGGAAAAAATATATTTGGAATAATATTTTAAATTAAATATAGTTAATTTAATTAAAAATTTCAATACAAAAAAAAAGAAAATAAAATATTCAATTATTTTGAAATGTTTAATAAATTCGGAATGAACCGATATGTAAAATTGCACATTTGCGTTACTAACGAATGAATGAACACTTGAATATTTTCCACTCAAATTATTCTCAATAATATATTAATTTAAATCATAAATATTGCATATAATTTAGGATGAGAACTTTAAGCATTTATTTTACTTCAATTCAGGATTTGATGTTCAATTAAGTATTCAAACTGAAGTATCGAAATTTAAAGTATTGCTATTTTTAAAAGGATGGTAGTAGGTGACAATTTCCTTATAGGAAAACCTATTCAAAAAGGTTCTTATCTTGAACATAAAATTTTACCTTATTATCTGAAACAGTGTATAAAGGTTTATTAGACAGACTCACTGACAGACGAAACAAATAACTTTAATTAAACAATTTTTTTTAGGTTATGCGCCGGAGTTGCTGTGACTAGGAGGAGGAAGGGGGAAATGGTGGCCCATCTCGTTTGCTCATGTCCGGCTCTAGCGGACGAATAGGCGGAAATGAGTCATTTTTCTTTTTACAGAATACGTACCTGGCGAATGTGAATGCCAGGGACCTTGGCCAGTTTTCAAAAAGCTCTGCCCAGTTTTTGAGAGGGTGAGGAGTTTTGTGGGTGCACCGGTATCTACTCTAAGCTAACCTTAGTTAAATTTTTATTTGTAAAAATTTTGTGAGAATTAAATACATGGTTCTCCTCTCAATTTGTCTTATAACAAAATAAACAATTTTCTTCCAATAAATTTTTTGCTCTTCTTGGAATACAAAATTCTCATTTTGATTGAATAACTATAATTAATCTTTTTAAAATATATAAAAATCAAATTGAAGAAAAATTAATGGAATATAATTACATGATTACATAACAAATTACAACATTATATTTATTAATTATGATATTATAACAGTTAGAAAATTATACTTAGAATTATAATTTATGGAAAATTTACATCCTTGTCTACCATAAAATTCAAAATTTTTCCAATTATAATTTATTATCACACCCAATATTTGCTAATAATTTTCACAAATGTTATTACTTAAACACTTACTTATATACAAATACATAATATATATATAAATAGATATTTTAATTATTAAATTGATTAACAAAAATCGATTTTTGAGTGTAACACAATAACCAAAACAAAAAAAAAAAATTTTTATTTATTATTTACGTTCATAGTAATTTATAGCTCATTAAATATTCAAGCCTCAGGCTTATGGTCTGGCATTAATTAAAAAAAAAAAAAGAAATATTTTCTCCCTTCCAGTTATTTATTTTCAAAATTTTATTTCAATAAAACCAAATATATATATATATAATATAGAATATATTTGTTCATACTTACTTTCGTATATTTAGAAAATTGAATTATATTGAACTTTAACCTCTATATGGTTATCACATGATTACACTCGTAATTTATTATTCAGACTTAATGTCAAATCTTTGTAAAATATTTTCTAAAGAGTTTTCTTTCTATAAATGTGTAATACAAAAGAAATTAATTTAGAAAACTTACAAAATAATAATTTATTTTCTATTTACGAAATAATATTCATAGTTTAAACTAACACCTATATACAATGAATCCTTATATTTATATTGTGTATTATACATAAGTATGTACACATAATAAGAAAACCAATTAAATACTATAATAGTCTATTAACATATTTATGTTGCCTAATTTTGATTGAGCAGAAAAGGCTCAAAAACATGGAAGTGGTAAATAAGATTCTTCTAAAATTAAATAATTTTTTTATCGTATAAATAACGTAATAACGTAAAATTTTAAAAATCATTGTTAAATTAACTATTAAAATCAAGCATGTAAGAAATCTTTCTCATTAATATAAAAATTTGCACTTATATGCTCTTTCAGAAACCTTAAATAAATGACTTGGACAAATGGTTTTTAAACCACCCAATTTTTCTTAAACAAATTAAAATATTTTTTTTGGTTAAAAAACAATCTTTTATGTAAATAAAATTACTCTCATTAACACTTAGTCAGTTATACCGAAAATAATTTTACTCATTTAACAATTATTGCATACTTTTAGGATTATAAAAAAAAGTTTTAGAAAAAACATTCGAATTTGTTATGATAACAAAATTTTTTAATGGTAACAGTTTTTTTAATTTTATAGAAATTTTGAGAAAACAGAAACTCCGCAGTTTTGGTAAAATTAAAAATTCAATTGACTTCTGTAATTTTAGTCATTTTGTCATTAAAATGTTTGCTTACGCTTTTCGCAGTACAAAATTGAAATCGCTATTTTGTAGTTTTTATATGAAAAATAATCAAAAGATGGCATTTTTAGAATTTTTTGAGAGCATAACTTTTAAGCGGAGAGGGCCATTCGACTGATCTAATTGTGTATCAATTTTTGCCTTTCTACCTAAAATATTATTTATTTTAGGCTTATACGATATCCTCATTTTACCTATAGAATTTGAAATAAAATTAAATGGCTGATGTGTTAAGTGCCTGTAAAGTGGTTGAGTTTTTTTCGAAATTTTGTAGGTATTTTTGGGCTTATAATTTCATATAAGAGTACAGAATCTGTGTTTGCAATCAATAAATCAAATGAAATGAATTCAAACCCATGAGATCTTAATGCATTTAATACTTGTATGAGCATGCAAATTAACAATCCAACAGTTAAATGTTCAAATTATCTTTATTTTTATAATATTAAAATATTTTTTTTTTTTTGTGTTTTTGGTTTACAATAAAAGATAGTCATATTATGCTTTGTATATCATTTACAACAAGAAACTTTTTTAATTGAAACGCTGTTTTGAACATTATTTTTTGTTTTTTTTTTTTTGTATATAGCTATTCTATATTCAATTTATTTTGTATCATCATTAATACATTGAACCACCATAATTGGATATCATTTAATTTTTTTTTATAATATCACTACAATAATAATAATTTTCACTAACAAAAAATTTTTAGTTAAATCAATTAAGATTTTTAAATTTTCTTTTATTGTTTTTTAAAGAATTTTCTTCTCTTAATATTTAAAATTTAAAAAATATTTTGTGTTTCTGTTTGTTTGTAGAAGAGTATTTCAATAAGACAGTAAATATATAGAAAACTATATATGTAGAATCTAATAATAAACATATACATACACTATTAACATTTTCTATTAATACTATCAACTACTTATAAAAACATTTTTTTAAATTTTGAGGATTACCTAATAATTATGTGTAGAACATTTATGATCATTTCAGGAATTAATTTCATATAAAATTTATAAATATTTTTTGAATAATTTTTAGTAATTAATCATAAATCAAATAATTCTGTTGATACAAGCAAAACTAATCGAATTTGGCAGTTTTTAATTTTATATATGTATAACAGTTTTAATTTTTCTTTTTGAAACTAATAAGGTATATGAGAAGTATGAATTTATGGGCCTATTAAAGTATATTTTTAAAAAGATCATCTATATTTTGCCAACTCATAGAAAATTATTGATATATTTGAGCGTATTAGAGTGTCTAGAAATTGAAATTGCCCATAAAAAGTGGACTTTACACAATCGACATTATACTAGCTTTTAAATAAAATCATTAAAGAAGAGATTTTGTACGAAATTAAGTTTCCGTTCAACAAAATCCCTATAGTGAAATTTGAAAATTGTTGGGTAATTTCTGCGAGAAAATAATTTAAAAATCGCTAACATTCGCAAAATTTAAAGAGAATGAATAAAATTTATTTGATTTTGAAAATTTTATACTCATACTAATATATTTTAGGTGAATATCACTCGTATGATATAGTGAGTACATTTTCTAAATAATAAATATAATAAATAATTTTAAATTAAAATTATACATTGTATGTAAAAATTTAAAATTAAAATTCTAAATTAACATCTGCAATTCTATATATACATAAAATATATGTATATGCTTAGATCATAATAATTAAAAGCGAACATGAGAAAGAAAACTTAATTAAAATAAATATTTTAACTCAAACCCTATACAAACCATTAAAATACCATACGAACTCAAACAAAAACAGCAAATTAATTTAAATATAAACTCATTTCATATATTAGGTTTGTAGATATAATTAAGATAATGTGGCGTACAAGCTGCAAATTAAATTTCATATACGATATAATAAAAATTTTCCATTAAACTTGAATATGGTTGAATACTTCTATGTATATAATATGTATATATATATATATATATATATATATATATATACATATTTTACATTTCTGTACGTGTATATAATTTTTTTTTTATTCCCATTTGTAAAGTAAATTCATTTTTAATTAATATATTCACAAAAATATATAATTAATATATCATAATATAATATTCTGGAACTGGAAGTAAAAATGAGACATTTACACATTCTATCTACATAATATATATATATCATTATATATCATTTTATGTTAATAACACTCATATATATATATATATATATATATATACTAATTTATTTTATATGAAATTAATTCACTGTGTACTTATACTTGTGCTCAGTACTGTACATTTTACCACTTTAACACCAATTTTAAGATTCTATTGAAAATTTCTATTCGAAATTTGATTGAAATTATTTAAAATTTCACAAGTATTTTTAATTTTATGAGTACTCATATGAGTATATATTATATGAGTTTATGTACTTTATATCAGATTTGTTTTTTTTTAAGAATTTCTGTTATATAGTAAGTTAGGTACATTTAAATAATTAAATTGTTATTTAAACTCTGATTTATTTTTATTTTTCATTGTGTATTTAATTTATTGATTGATTTCTTTGCTAATTTTAAAAATTTAATCACTTATCATTTAAAACATATATTATATTTGTATAACATTATAGGGGTATATTATATCATTATGTAGAGTAAATCAATAGTGCATTGTATATCATATATTTTATGAAGAAATTCTATTTCCGGAAATTTTATTATACATTTATTTTTTTATATTACGTATAGATATTTTAAATAATTTATTTAAATTTTAAATATTATTACACACACAAAACAACCCCATATACAATTTAAAATTACAATATTTTTTTAAGTGCAATTATTTTTATTTTTTTTTTTTAATATTTCTAATTTTTTTTTTATTATTATTATGTATATAATGTAGTACAGTTATTTATACATTAATATTACATATAGAATTTACAATATTTTTGCATATCTTTTCATATGTGTATGTGGTGGTGGTGGTTTAAATATTTGATTACCATCAGAATCTTTATGTTCTGTATATGCTATTTCAGCAATTAATTGCATTTTACATTTTTCAGCAATTTTTGCTGAATAATAACTTGAACAATCAACATTTGCAATTTTAAAACCTAATGTTTTTGCCATTTGAAATGCTCTCTCAAATAAACGATAACCAATATTTTTACCACGATATTCTGGTGATACAGCAACACTTATTAAATTAAATGTTTTTTCAGTTGAAAATTTTTTAAATATATCCTCTTTTTTATCAATAACATCAATTAAATTTAATAATGCCATCATACGTTTACAACCTAAATCTTTAAATTTATTATGTAATTCCAAACCTAAATTTGGATAACTTAAACCATTAACTAAAAATCCAATTGGTATTTCATTATTACTATCATCATTTGTTTGATTATTACCTCCTCCAGCACCATTATCATCATTTAAATTATTTTCATTATTTTTTGTTTCAAATGCTATTAAACTTAATCCTTTTTCTGGTATCGATGAAAATGTTTCCTCTTCAACAAATGATGGTGTTTTTATTTGAAAACCAACTGATAATGGCTCTTCTGGCCAATACCATTTACGAAAACAATCTAATATTAGATCATGATCATCTTTTGTTGCAAGACGTATTTTAATATTATTACTTGTTGATGATGACATAATCGCAATTATTATTATTTCCTTTTTTTTTTTTATTATATGTTATATATGTATGTAAATATTTATAGTTATAATTGATTATAAGAGTATTGAAAATAATAAATTATTTTTATTTTTCAATAATTTATTAATGGTATTACTCGAACACTGTATGAAGTAAATATCCTTCTTCCTTTATTAGAATATTAAAAAAAATCACTTATGTAACTTTTTTTTCCTTTCTTTGTTCGATATAAAATCAACCTATATGTATGTAAACACTCAATATATTAATAGGTGTATATATATGAAAATATATATATGTTAGTATATGTGTGATACCAAATAAAAATTTTGTATTTATAATTTTATCTCTGCAAGGACTCAATTGTTATAGCACAACAATCATCAACAATTGAAGGACATAAAAATTAATTTGCCGCTTTTCTATTGTATATATATAGAAAACAAGAAACCGTTTTTATGGTGTTCTACAATTTTTCACTTTTCCTTTTCTTTTACTCTTACTTTTTTTCTATTTTTATAATTTCTTCTGTTTTTCTTTTAGAAATTCTTGAAATATTTGAAATTTTTAATAAAATTCCTTTTTTTAATTTGAATAAAAATTAAAGAAATTATTTTAAATTTTATGATTTTTAATTTTTCCTTATCAAAGTTTTTTTAAAATTTAATTAATAAATTTTTTTTTAATTTTTTATCACCCTTTTTAAATAAACAAAATTTTACTTTCAATATTTTTTTTTGAATTTTTGACCCGAAATTTTCCTTTTCTCTCTTTCACTTTTTTTATTTTTTTTTGATAACAAGAATTTTTTAATTTTTTTTTTTTTTGATGTGAACAGTTCAAATGATTATAACAGACTGCTGAATGATTCAGTAAGATAATATTATATTTACCGTTGTTGTGCTTGTTCTTGTTCCTGTTTTTGTTATACTTGTTGTAGTTAATATTGTAAAAACTGTATAGCATTTTAAGTTTTCTGTGTTTTCTTTTTCTATTTTTATTTTTGATAAAAGAAAAGGAAAAAACTAAAATAAAAATTTCTTTTTTGCGGGTACATTATCATTACAAACTCATATACACTATATATATATATATATATATATATATATATATATATATATATATATATATATATATATATATATATATATATATATAAATATATATTTATATATATATAAAGCAATATGATATACTGAAAAAAGAACCTAAATGTATAAAAAGAAAAGAGATGAAAATGAAAAATCCACAAGTATATAACAATGTTAAAAATATAGTATTTTTATATATGTATAAAATATATAGAAATTTTCACAGTATAACACATTTCATTTGAAATCAGTACTTATATAAAAATGGTATACGCTGATAATACGAGTATGCAAAGTCAATGATTATAAAAACAAAAAAATCCAAAACTGATATATACTCGTACCTATGATATAACACATATCTACATGAATATGGCTATTTATGAATATGATTGCATACACACATATGTATACGTATATATAATATTTATAAAAATAGCAGTATTGAGTAAGTTTTCTATTATAAACAAATGAATTTTGTTTACATTTGTAATAATATATTGAATATTTTATAATTATAATATTATATATAAGATATGTATAACAGATATAATATATGCATAGCATGCGTTATATAATATTATACCTATATATGGTAGGTAACTTTTTATTTATCATTATCATATATGACTTAAATTATTTTAATAATAATCTTGTAACTGTTATATAAGTGACATAATAATATACTTGCTTGTATATTAAATGAAAAAGTTTTTTTTTTTTATCATTTCGAGGTTAAACCACATATAACGTTAATCTGTACTGATTAAAAAAGATTAGACAACCACAATATAATAAAAGCAAAAGAGGAAAAAAAAATCATTATTTTTATTTATATAAAAATAAGAGAAAGAAATTATTTATAGTCAAAGTCGAGTGAATAGAATGCCGGTGATAATAAAATTGATTATTATACAAGTGCGTGTTATACATACATATGTATGAATATGTGTTATTTTTATATAAATGTTCTACATATGTACGAATAAGTGTTTTAAACTTCATTTTGAAATATTTTTTTTGTTGAAAAATATTGTACGGTTATTGTTTGTTCTTTTATGCATGTGCCCGTATTAAAAAAAAGTTTTGTATGATAAAATTTAATATTTTTTTTTTTATGAAGTTGTAAACAAATACTTCTGCTTTCTATATACATACACACATATATATTTGTATAGACACTTGTACAATATAATAAACATATTTTAATTATCATAACATATTCAAAAAAAAAAGTTTATTTTGTCATTAACAGCATTCCTAACAAATTTCTATTTTATAATATAGAAACAGTTATACATATTACAAAGTATAATAAAAAATATCAAATTACATACTCTTTTGTGTAGCCACCGTGGTGTAGGTGGTATATTTTTTATGGCATGAGTTTGAGTTAGCTCAAAAATATTGACTAATTAACAACAAAATTAAATTCCGAATAAATTAATTAAATAAATAGCAAAAATATATTTTACTTCCCTGTTCAATTGTTAAAATCAATATACAAAATATTAATCATGAAAATATATATATATATGTATATATATATATATGTATATTTATATATATATATATATATATATATATATATATATATATATATATATATGTATATATAATATATATATATATATATAATATATAAATATAAATATATATAATATATAAATATATGTATATATATAACTTTTGTTTATTTTTATTAAAACAAAAATAAACAAAAGTTAATGTGAAATCACTTTCTTCATCTGTCAAAATAGTTGTTCCATATACATATATTGTCTCCTACTGTCCACTTTCCAAACTATGAAAAGAATTTATTGTGTTCGTCAACTACGATATTATCTCATGTCATGGATTGATCAGAAGATTATCAGCAGAAAATATAGCTAAAATTTAGACGTTGAAACTAATGTCAATTAACCATATAACTGTAACAAATACCTTACTCGTAAAAAAATCGCCATTTCCTAGGCACATTTTATTAGAACTTTGATGTTTTCTGAATTAAGGGAGATTTTTTTTTCTAAATTAACTCATTAAAAATGAATGCACTTTTATTTCGTCCAAATAAGTTTATGCAAGCGTATATATATGTATATCATATATCGATGGTGAAGCGCAAAGTCATGCTAATTAGCAAATTTAAAATTTTAAAGGGGAGGAAAAGACGAAAGAAGCCAGTTAATTAGGGTAACGCTATATTTTTAAATTTTTAGCACTTTTCCAAAAAATTTTTGAAAAAAAGTGCTTATTAGTTTCACTCTGTCCGTCCGTCCGTCCGTCCGTCCGACAGTCCGTCCGTCCGTCCGTCCGTCCGTCTGTCCGTGTGTCTGTTTACAAAACTTCTACATTCTTAAAGATAGAAAGCTGAAATTTAATATGTGCATAGATCTTTACTAGAAACTTATTTTCGTAGAACAAAATTTTTACCTATCTCCCCCCCTCTAGAAGTTATACTTCCCCAAAGCCACAAAAATGGCCCATTTTAACTATTTGTTGCAATGAAACCATAAGCATTTTTGAAATTTTGCAAACTCAGAAAGGCAGCGGCTTACTTTCCCTAGCGCGGTATACTACAGCTAAACTTTAGAAAAACAAAATGGCCGTTCAAATTTACCGTTATCTAAAGTCCTTTTTTTCCAAATTTTTGATGTCGTTTTTCTCCTATACCCCAGCCTGCAGAAGCTTGAAATTTAAGGGGCTTTTAGACATTAACAAATAGTTCATTTCGTTTGAAGAAAATTTTTTTCCATCTCCACCCCCTCTCAAGTTATCGTCTCTTGAAATTCGTAAAATTTGAATTTTTGACACCTTATATTTCCGCAACCGCAAGCTTTTTCAAATTTCTATAAACGCAAAAAGCTAGCGGTAAATTCCATGACATTAAAAAATATAATTATTTTTCTTAACTCACACAATTAACCCTTAAAATCGAGCATTATGTTAACCCCTCTTTATATTAATTTTTATCTATTTCAAAGACTGCATAAATCGTTCATCCGAAATATATGCAATCCTAGAAATAGTTTCGTTTATGAATGAAAATAATTTTAATAGTGTGGTGGATATACATAGATTGTTTTTAAAAGCAGTATTTTCACTTGTTGAAGGGAAAAGTGCTACAATACAAACCATTGGTTTGACCCAACTTTATTTATTCTTATATAATTAAGTTTTTTTAACAAAATTTGAATTTTTGCACATGAGATCGTGCACTGAGCATAAAATGTTTAATAGTGTTAAGATTGCTAATATATTTAATTATAATCTATTGATATATTCATCATATTCGTGTTTTATCAATATATCACTTTTTGTAACATTACCATTCTAAGAAAGCACTTAGCCTTCGTTTCAGCAAACTAATACTTATACCGCATTGAAATCTATATCACACAAATAGGACGACCGTTCGAAATACTATTGGAAAATTTGTTCCTTAGCATATTTTTGCACTTCAACATCGATATATACATCATGTGATTATTCTGATGTAAATATTTTTATATATATATTGATTTAATATAAATATATTATTATTGTTATACACATGTACATATGTATGTTATGTAGTTAAAATAAATAATAGAATTATTTAATAAATATTTAATTAAATATTTATTAAAATCGGATATGATGATGATGAAAATTGTGTCATACTATTTTTATTTCTTATTTTCTCTTCTCATCGCAATATTATTGAATTTATTTATTATATGTATATAGATTATTTTTTTTTATATATAAAAATATATCAGTTGAAAACTTTTACATATAAATTTGTGGCATATTATGGATTTTTTAACTTTCGGTTATTTCGATGCTAAACTGATGATTGTAAAAATTTAGAGTCATACTTACTAATGAATAAAATATATTTTAATTAATTTTAATTAAACACATACCATTGTATACAGAGTATATAATGCGCCTGTCTTACACGCAGGCACGGAGTTATATTTAAAATTTAGAGTAAGTAAAGAAATCAGTGGAGATTGACTTTAATCCCCTGTAGCTCCTATTGAGCTGTGAACATCGTCCCTTTACAAAAGTTTTCTTTACTTATGAGTGCCTATACAGTGGTATATAGCAGTGCACTTTGGCGAGACGAAACACCCTGTATAATAAGTACATAATAAAATAACATAAAATGTTTTGACCACATAAAATAATTTTATTATTAAGATTTAATGAATACCTATTATAAGAAGGAAATAAGTTCACATCACTAAAGTTGTTTTTTTTACGTCAGTATCATTTGTTGAGTTCATGCTTCTTTAATTTTCGCACTTTCTAGATTTAGCAAGATTTTATATCTTAAATTAAAAATCTATTAATATTCAATTCTAAATTAAAGACAGTAATTATCGATTTATAAATTTTGTTCGAAATGTAAATTAAAAACATGTGTAAAAATTTTTTCCCGAATTTTGAGTTTTAATTTTTCTTACGGCAAATTAACATGTAGTTTAAAAATTAAAATATATTAATTATTGCAATTACGACTATTTTATCATAAAAATTAAACAGCTAAAGATCTTTATATTAAAATATTGAACAAAATATATGGTGATTTTTATACAACCTACCTAATAGTTATGTCTTTCTATAAAAAAGAGTGGCTGAGAGCAACAATTGCGCACATGCATTCTGATGGTTCGGTATTTTCATATTCCTATATTTCTTTCACTCCTATA